TAAGAGCGAGGAACTGAGATAAGGGATTGAAGGAAGCACGGCCTCCCAAGCCAGCGGCAGTCCGGGCTCCGCGGCAGCTCCGGCGGCCGAGGCGGGGGAGCTCCGGGCAGTGCCGGGCACTGCAGCCGGGCGGGGAGCACGGGGAGCCGCCTCTGAGAAAGGCAGCCACGCTACAAGGCCAAACTCTAATCACGGCATAGCTTGTGGGATGAAAATCACTCCTCATGCATGTCACCTACCCTAAAGGGCCCCTTAGGGCAGCTCTTGTTAATGGCACTGTCAAAATAATTATAAAGAGAAAAGAATGTGCGTGTGCGTGTGTGCGTGTGCGTGTGAGCACACACACTCAGGCTGCTCCTCTTTAAACAAAAAGCACTGGACAGCAAAACTTAATTTTGCCATTCAGCAACATGCTTGTAGATAGACTGGCTGATGCTGTAATTAATCTCAGTTGTTAACAACAGGTGAGTGCTGACAGACAGCTCGGTCCACCTCGGGGACATATTTAGAGCCTCTTTTACTGTTCGGTTTGGAAATGAAAAGAAGAAATACAAATTGAGGAAGGAAAAAGATCACATTATCATTATCTTACAGTTGCTATTTACTTTTGATTCTGAAACAGACTGTGATGCTACAGTTCCCACGGCGTCCCTGCCCTAGCCTGTGTAGGTCAGAAACATTCTATTGGTATTAAGCAGCATCTATCAAAAGATATTACAGTAACTTCCCTTTTTAATAAATTTACAGGAAAAAAATCGTTCTTATTAATGCATTTCCAAAATGAGTAACAGATTGCTGCTTACTGATGAGAAAAATTGCTCAGGCTTTAGGGGTAAAGATAAGTCACTGGACAGAAATGGTGTGAAATTTCGTATGATAAAGCACTTGATGCTATTTAATCTAAGAAATAAATTGTGCACATACTACTTATCTCTACTGACATGCTAAGCATGGTACACAAATGCTGAACCTACAGACCTGGCCATGAACTGAATCACAGAATCAGAGAATATGGTGAGATGGAAAGGAGTTTAATTAATCTTCAACTCCAAGCCTTATGTTAGCAAGCAATAAGTGTTAACACAAATGCACAAACATCAGAGAAATGAGGAATATTAGTAGAAATCAAACACAAGGCCTTTAAAATGTCTTTAACTTTTTTTACCTAGTTCATAAAATGTTGTATGTGTGTAATGGGGGTGAGTTAATGTTTCAAAGACAATCCTAAATTTTTCAGCTCCTCACACCGCTACTTAAGTCTCAAAGCCATAAAATATGCATGCTTAAATCTCTTCCTTTTTCCTGTTACAGAGTGAAGACACAGATTAAAGAATAAAAGAAAAATAACAGCTCTCTAAAGTATTTAATGTTACACAATTCTGTTTAATGCCATTTCATAAATTTTAAACCCAAACAGTATTTGTACACATATACACGATGCTATCTGTGGCGCTCCAGTTATGCAATATTTTACGCAACAGTGTAGCTCCATTGGTAATTTCACAATTTAAAACTCAGTATCCCTTTTTACTGAACACAGGTGAGGAAATTTTTCACTGGTTTTCAGACATCAGCTACTTCCATATGAAAAATTCCCATTTCTCATTGATAATCTATATCGGAAATTTGAAGTAAAAAATCTGCACTTTTTTTTTTTACTTTTTTTTTCTCCCCTATTTGTTTAAAGAAACCATACTACCACAAGTGTGGTAGTGAAGTTTAAAGTGTGGAATGAAAACGTCATTGTTCTTTATTCTAAAAAGACTGGAGTCTGTTAAAAAGTGCCACTTTTCCTTATTCCCTCAATAATATCTTTTTGGGGTCTGAATATTGAAATTTCAATCCCTAAGCAGATTTTTTAAATGGCAGCTAGAAACAAAATAATAAGAAATAAAAACTAAATAGAAGAAAGGAGATGACATTTGTTGTAAAACTTCAACTGTAGCATCTGCTAGGACAAAACCTGCTGGCTGCCAGCACATAGGAACTCAGAATTCCTGCACCACTGAAGCCAGAGAGGGCAGGACATGACCCAGAGGGCAAAACCATTTTTTCTTCCTTACGTTTGGTGGATATTTTGCTGGAATAACCAATTCAAGATCTATACCTAAATTTTAGCTCAAATCTGCATGAAAAATGTTTACTAAATGCCAAATCACACAAAAAGTGCCTTTTAAACGTGTTCATAACAACAGCTGTAATCTAAAACAAAATGAGAACATTTCTGTTCTTATCAGAGGTGTATTTAATATTATCGTAATGAAGGCTTTATTACTGCAAACCAAATAAATCACTGGCTTGTTGGATTGGAAATGGAGTGACAAGCTCAATATGTATGAACAGACCTTTTAACAGTATCACGAACAGACACGGAAGCTGGAAGTCAAGACATTTGGTATCAAAAGGCCAAACCTTGCTGCAGCCTCAGGAGGAAGAAGTTCATCTCGGCTATAGTAAAGCCTGTGAAGTGGCCCAGCATTTGTAATAATTTTTCCTATTTCTGTGAAGATTCAGCTCTCCTGCAGGTTTGGATATGTTTGGATATGCTTGCAGTTACCATTATTCTTAGGGTTCTGAAATGGTTGTAGATGGTTCAGTAGTTCAAAGAATAAACAGAACAATTGCTTAAAAAAAACCCCAAACCAAATAACAAACCAATCAATCAAAAGTCCATATATATTAAGTATATTAAAAATGTATTTTCCATAACATAAGGTTACTTTTTACATGTTCACTTATTGTCAGAAGTCTGATTAAGCTGCAAACTACTCAAAACTCTAGCATTTAATTCAAACAGAATTGCAGTTATACTGATTATAAGGAAACCCTATCAGCACTATACATAGAATGGTAAATAATCTAATTGAATACACAATGCGTGTTTCAAAATCCGTATTTTTCCCCTTTCTGTAAAAGAAGCAGTTCGAAAGGTATTCTTCAGTGTATATTGTTCTAATCACTAGAACAAAGCAAACCAACACTGTTGTTAGTAGTTAAAATAATGCTAGACCCCCTCTGCCCCATGACCTGGAATGGAGCGAGACTCCCCACTTCCCACTCCTCCAGCACTGAGCTGAGCCACAATTTCAGTGTTTTAAAAATCAAAGTACAGAAACAGAGACTCTTGTCTAACACAACGCTTGCATATTTTACAGCAAACTGAACTGTATTTTCCAAAAGGATGTTAAAAATAGAAGCATATGATCTTTTCCCACCTAGAATTGTATCCTTACAATTAAAGACTATTAGCTGGCATCCCTTTTAACCGTCAAACTCAGACAGTGGCAGTTCTATAGCCACAAAGAGAAGCAGTAAATGAGAAGAACATGTTGCTACACTGCATTTGAGAAAGTTTGGCTCCAAGCTATGCACTGATTAATATCAGATCTCCTTCTTTACTTGCCTCTTGACAATCTTGTCACATCTGGCTGACAAATCCTTACAAGCTTATCCAAACCAAGGCAGCCCAGATCATGCTCCGGGAGTAGCTTGAAGGAAGCGGCAACACCAGCCATGCACTGATGTGCCATCATGAAACTAATGAAGCTGACTTCACTTGCAGACTGCAGGAACACGAAGAAACACAACATGCCCCAAGGTTTTGCAACATAACGCAGAGTTAGCTCACCAAGAGATAAGACAAACAATCAGCTCCCGAGGTTCAAGAAGCCAAGTAGTTACATGAATTACAAAAAATTGTATAGAAATTGCTTGAACAACAATCTCGACTAAATGAGCACAATAAAATCCAACTTCAGATCAGATGTGAAATTTGACTGTTAAATGCCTTTCAAACAATGGTTTGTTTTAAATTAAAACAAAACTAGTTTATTTTCCCTCTCCCATATACCCCAAAATATCAGAATGTCGCCTGGCTTCCAGGTTATTCAAACTGAAAAACATTAAGAAAAAAAAAATTTAAAAAAAAAAAGAAAAAAAATAAGAAAAGAAAGAGGGGGGGGAATAGTGTCACTTTTTATCCATAGGATTTTACAGAAGGATAAACCACAGCCTGTGTGTATGAGTAGTCCTCCCCTGGGTTAGTGATCTGCCCTCTCCTCATTTTTAAACCAAGAATTCCTTTCACAGAGCACTGGAAGTATTTGACCAATTAATAAACCAGAAAGTAAAATGCTGTATCTTAAACACATCTAAAAAACCCTCATTATGTATGACCTGACAATTAAACCATGTTTATTTTTCTATGTGATAAAAAAATCAAAATAAATTAAATAAGAAGTTAAATGCATCAAAAAACAAGACATTTAATGAGCACAATATATTTAAAAACCCAGGACCCCCCCCTCATACTCAACACCCCCCCCCCATCCCCCCCTGCCCTGAAATACAAACAGACTGATCCTAAGAAAAGAATTACTGGCCTTATTTTCTGGATGCTAAATAGACAACAATAAATAGTATATAAAGGGCATACATTAGACTCCACTTTAGTGGTAATTTCTAAAGAACTTCATAGTGAAATTACATTGTTGTCTCCTCTCCAGTGCATTTATACGTCATGATAATGATAATGTATCTGCTTAAAGCACTTGACTCAGAACACATCTGAGTCACAAATCACAGATTTTATTGCTATTAATGTATATTGAGGACTTGTACAATTAAACATTGTCAAGTATTTATGATTTAGATGCTACTACTTCAATTGGAAAACAATTACACAAGTGATGGCTCTGCTTATTATAATCAGCCTGCAATTCTGCATTACTTACTGTAGAACAGAAAAGTCATACAGTTGTTTACAGTTCACGGCAGAAAGAAAACCTGGATTTTTTACAGAAACTAGTTTTCTACTTTCCTAGTATCTTTTTATAATTAAGAAATGGAGACTACAGCTCCCTACAGCTCTCATCTCCATTGTTCATTACCCAAAACAACACCATTGCAAGATTTTTTATATCTCCACAGTGCATAGCCACAAGTAAAAGTTGCACAGTAAAAACACACATTCATATAGAACTGCAAAGAACTTTCCTTACCTCAGACATTCTTACTGTGCTTATGTTTCCAGAGCTATAAAACAGTTTCCCATTCCCTCAGTGAGTTGTACAAAGAAGTACTGGAAACATTCCTGCCTGTACAAGTACTAAGGCAGAACCATCACACGCCTCTTTACTCTTGTCTGACTCTGAGCACCTCAAGGTCTGATGTATGCTCAGGCTGTGCACAGGGGAGTGAAATAAGATCCTCCCCCTTGGTGTTCTCCAGACCTACAGTACGAAGTTGTGTCTGCCTCTCACCTCTGCAGCCAGCTCTCACCTCGCTGCCCCGGAGTGCTGTGCTCCAGCGCGCGCCTCCAGTCGCAGGGCAGTCCCCTCACAGCTGGCTTGAAGAGGGCATGACACTCATCTTTCACAGAGATCTGATCAAAAGGAGTCACGGAGGCTTGAGGCGCTCCTAATGCAGTGCGAGGAGATTCTACCTCTGCTCTGGCAGCCTAAGTAATGCATTAAATCAATGCAGCTGACCTAAGGCCTATTACAGGGTTGTTTTTTTTTCTTCGCCGAGTGTACAACTATCTGCAAATAAGCTGTGAGGTTCTTACAAGTAAAATTACTTATTTTTAGCGTCGGAGTGTTGTTTTTCAAATTGCAGCTGCTGCAGTTTTTTTTTTTTCTTTTTAAACATTTGCAGGTCTCAAAGGTTCACTGAGTGGGGTGTGCATTTTTTAAAGTTAAAACATTTCCCCTTATCAACTTACTTCTGAGTTAGGGCTGAATTTTATTTCTTTTTATGAAGTTGAAGCTTCCTATTAACAGAAGTACAGGTCATAAAGACAGGAGAAGAATTACTTTCTAGTAATTGGGCCAAAATCTGGTTTCAGTTATTCAGGTGTTGGGTTGCATTCATGAGTTAGAGCAGGATTTTTGTCATAGTCCTTTCTCACCTATTTAAAAAACCAAAACAACACCCCAGGACAAAACACTTCTCCCCGCTCTCTACTTTTAACTCCTGTAGAACATTTCTTTGCACTCTCCTAACTCAGGAATACACTGTACTGTACCACAGACAAACATGAGCAAGTTGCACTGAACTCAGAGGGAATCCTTGTAAGAACATACCAGGACAACGTTTGACCAGATGAATACCGTAATCCCATAGGAAAGGCAGCAGGAAATAAGATGGCTGTAGGGAGAAGACAGCTAACATATTATTATTGTTGGTTTATTAGTCGTCTTTTACTAATCCTATTTACTATTTGCTAGATAAATGCACAACCCTTAAGGAGAACCTAATTTACATATAGCCATGTGCTGGAGTACAGTTAATATTAAGTCTATGGCAGTAATTGGAACCAGGATAAAGCCAATGTGACACCAGAATCTGGTTCTATCATGAACTGTATGCTTGCCTAAATCCCTAGGTTTCTCCACCCTGTACCTTATTTCTTCCGCTAAGCTATTGACCAACATGGAGGTACAGAGAGGAGGATTTAGTTTCATAGAATGGTCTGCCAGATACCTCTGGCAAAAAAACACTGAGGTGTGAGAAGAGTCAACCACCAGTGGTGACTTGGTCCTTACCCAACAGAGCACTGCATGGAGGCTCCAGTACCACCTCTGGTCCCTGCAAGGTGCCTCAGGCACTTCCCTCTTGGGAACCCAAGACAGAGATTATCACTGGCCTTGTAAACTGAGGGGAAAACTGTCTGAGAAGTCACGGCCAACATCATCTTATCTGAGGTAAATCTTAACAGCAGTGTTTTAAAAGCATCTGTTCTGTGATGAGGACAAAATCTAGCTGCTCTCTCAAGATGATAACTCAAAGCCAAAGGCACACCTTGTTACTAAAATCATATTTCCTTCTTAATGAAATAAGCAGCGATGTAAGTAAAAAGGGCTCAACCTGATTGAGAATTCTGCAACAAAGGTGGGAAGAGTGTCTTAAGATTACATAAACTGCCAGAAGCTCTGAATTGACTACAAAATGATAAGTGACTAAAACTTAGATGTGTGGAGAGCTGCTCTCCCCTCTAGCCAGTTCCCAGGAAAAACCTATTTACTAGCTAGCTGCCATTTGCCTGGAAGATGATAATTCTTATTAAATAGGCTAACTATCCATAGCAAACAATTTAAGACCAATTTACTTTTTTGTTAATTAATTATCTACTAAGAGTCTTTTATTTCAAGCATTGTTTTCATTATTCAAGCTTTTTCAATGAATATTTAATGGGAACATATTCATGCCTTGTTCTTTTGAAACTATTCACTATTTCTGATTAGCAATTTTTCAGATTTTTACTATCTGTGCACCTTTTAGCAAAACCCAAAGATCTCTACCATAATGTGATGTGCAAGGCACAGTTTGTACCTACAGGTCATTTTCTAAAGAAATAGTGGCATATTAACAGTGTTTTCAGTAACTGCAGGTTCAAGCCTGCTTGTACAGGGCACTTACCAAGATGTCTCTCGAAGAATGACCAAAATGGAAACTAGAGGGTGACTTGTATAACTCTTCTTCAAGCACCAAAACCTAATGGCAAACCAGTGTCTTGTGGAAAGAAACAGAGCAGCACAAATGGAGAGAGATGTAAAACACAATGTCCATAGTTTTGAGAAGAGCTCCAACACATGGAACTGACTGTAAACAAAAAGCTGCTGCTCTTAACTGATTTTATTATCTAGGATATTTTAAAAATGGGAATTAATTATAGTGAATCACTGCAATGGAAACTGAAGGATATAGCACAAAGTGCAATACAATCCACAGAAAAAGACTTCTCCTTACTTTTACAATTCATTTGTGACCTGAATTTTGGTGTTTGATTCCAAAAAAAGCATTCTAAAAAGAATATCAAGAAACTAATCAAGCATTGACTAAAATGTTGGGAATAGGTTTGGTCTTTGCTCTGTGTTCTCCAGGCAAATGGGTATGTAAATCCTAAATTTCCCAACCACACTCTACTGCTTCACACTGTTTCTACCAGACCCAGCCGCACAACGGCGTTAACCTCTGTGTCCTGCCTGCTTGGCCTGCGTTCCAAACACAGAATACACTATGTCCCCTCTTACTTAAATCAGTGCTGGCAAAGATCTTAGCACTAAATTAATGCTCTGCTCGCTTATTGCCTTGGAGAGATGTGTGGATTAAAGGTTTCACTTCTCAGAAGACACGTGAAGCAACGGTCAGCCCTGTGCTCAGACTGTTGGGCACTGGGTCACCTTTCAGGGAGAAAAGCCAACTAGAGTAGGAATTGCTGTCCAGGACTGAAGGCACACAAGATTTCAGGGAGGTAGGAGGGGAAGGAGGAAATAGACCTTGACAATGAGGAGAACTGATGCCCTGTCAGCAAGGCATAGAAACAGTTGTGGGTTTCAAACAACTTGCAAGTTTGAAGTTTTTTAAAATTTAACAAATCTGCGCACATGAAGATGAAAATAGATTTAAACTTAGTGTGCTGCAGCATAGGTTTTGAGCACTAGCCGAACTACAAATAGGCCTGCTAAAGGCATGAAGTACTTGAGAAGGCTTCCTAAGATCTGTGGAAGAATAGGTAAGGCACTCCAGTTCTCATCTAAGCAACAGAGAACCCCAAATCTCTTGTTCAGTATTTCCAGGTAGGTCGATTTTGTAAGGTGGCCAAGCAGATAACACTGAGGTATAAAGTGTCCAAAACTGTTTTCCACTAACAGTTTAACCAGAGTTCAAGTATTTATCCCTATTTTGCTGTTTACATCCCATTTAGTGCAACTGGACAAATCGAACCCAACAAAAATAAGTTCATTGAATACTGTCTGCATTTGCACCTTTGCTTCAGCACTAATTTTCATCTAACTGTTCAATGCATTACTTTTCTTCTGTAGCTCACAATAGTAGTGAAGTGAGCACTGACCATTACAAAATGCTAATATTTAAAGTAGTGTGTATGGCAAACCCAGAGACACATCACCAACACCAGCACCACTGACCCATCCCTGTGAAACTCTGCCTCTCCACTGAGAGCCATTGGGATGGAGAAACTCTGCCATTAACCATTATGAAAAGACCTGCCCAAACAGTAAGTTTCTTTTTAACATTTATTAATGGTTGCTTTATGCCACAAAGTATTTGTCTCTGAAAAATTTGATTCTATAACACTTTGCCATCTAATAAAGTTTGGGTTTTTTAGGTTACATCCTTTTTCAACACTTTTTCTTAGCATGAATGGTACCACATTTTACAACATGGTGTAGTTGTGCATCACACAGCAAAAGCTTTTCAGTGTACTGGTGTTAAGGACGTTACTTTAAAATGTGAAACAGAATAAACCAAGATACTTGATTCGACTTCTCTGAGCTAATCAGTACAATTGTTCACGTCATATCCTATTAATCTCTTTGCTACTGGAAGTAGTCTCCTACCAAAGCCTTCCCCTGCTTCTGACGATTTCTATAATTGTGTGTTTGGATTCTCCATTCTTTGTGCAAATCTTGTTGAAGATATCTCAGGATCACCAGAAGGAAACGCTGCTCCCCTTAACTTGTTGACATCATTCATGTACTTCAGGTATTACTCTATTCCACTCAGTTTGCTCCCTTCAGTGCTGTTCTGCGCTGAGCAAAAGAAACACAACTTTTAGCATACACTTGATGACAAACAAATACAGCATTTTCTCCCTCCTAATGAAAGCAGGAGAGTTAATCCATTGCTCCCATAAGCCACAATGGTGAGTTCACCAGTTTTGTGGTAACTGGGCCTTTCTGTTAAATGCTTACAGTTTCATTCCAGGGTTTGACGGCACTTACAAAAAATTTCTAATTAAGTTTATAAGATCCTTTTGGAGAATTTTACAATTCAGAGCCTTAACACGTCTAAAGTCTGTATCTCCTCTGCCAGCAGTGTTGCTTCTGTACTTTCTCCACTCTCCCCCAGCTTTTCAATAAACACCATCTGCCCCAATGGAGAGCCTGGAGCATTCAGGTAAAATCTCAGCCATTTGGGAACTCACTGGTTGCTCCTATTATTTGTTCTGTCTTTTTACCCATTTAAAATGTTAAACATTACACCTTTCACCCTTTTGCTTAGTAGCTTTCTATACTTACATTTCAACATGTACAACCAAAGATTACAAGAAAAGAAATTATAAAGAGCTTACATAGTGACATTATCATCTTTAAAATGTTTTGTAAAGCAAAATTTAAAAT